TACATAAGATTGGGATCACAGTGAAGTTTTGCTTGCCAGTCCGCCCCAACGACAACCTCGATAAGTCCTGCTCCTTTGCCGTCCTTTTGATGGGTCACCCAGAATCATGATCGACTCACAAACGGAACATTTTAATAGCCCTATCTTTAGGGGCGCATTACTTTCTGCCCATTCGTGGTCTGTATATACTATGGAACAGATACTATGGAAAACGCAAGGATTTTCATAAAGCGCTTCCGCAACTCACATGCAATTAATTGATTGCAAGTGGCATTGAATGAGCCTCGGCCATTTGAAAGATGTTGAATGTACCACTTCAGTAACCATGCATACTACAAGAAAACCTTCTGGTGCAACTAATTAATACCTGGTATAGTGAATTTGATAAATTACTTCTATCGTAGAAGTTTCTGAATATGTTGCCCATAGTTTCGGGACACCTTGTACATCTTCTCAGCAAAGCTGACCTCATCCGAGTATACAAAATAATAATACAAAACTCCAAAATTCAACAGACTGGTTCGAAGCGCATTTTACAATGTGGTTGTTCTATGATCGTAAGAATTCTGATTGTAGGATGCAGTTGTGCACCAGTTTTACAGAGTGCTGCCAGTACCGATACCGAAGTAATTCGGAAAGTGTGTGAATAGTTCTGAGATCTCGAAGATCTCACTGAACAGCTTTTGCCTAGTTGACCACTGTCATTTCGTCGCAGTACGCGATGCGACAACCTCACAAAGTTGGTAAGTTATGGACAAAACTTTGGCGTCGGACGGGACTCGACCCGAACTTGCGCTAGCCTGGCTCTATGCTCTTACCCACTACACCTGAGACCCGTTTGCTCTCGCTTTTGCATCGTTTTCATTTCAAGTGTATTGGCTTGAAGTGTATTGGCTATTTTGAAAGTGTATTGGCTCGGCAGACTACTTTTTGCGTAAAGTAGCGATCTGGCCGATCACGATGAAATCCGTAAATTGAAACACGCACGACACGACACGACAGGCAGGGCCGAATAGGAAAGGCAAAATTGAAGTACCAGTGAGACTCAACAGATGTAGTTTAATTTTTAGTTGATTTTTGTGAGCTTTCTACTAGTTTTATCGTAGAAATGGAATGATTGGTACAGTCAGTATGCAATGTCATTTGAAGAGGACAGTGATTTACTAATCAAATCTTTATCATAAGTGTTTCTCAACTACCACAGTTTTTGCCACATTTTTTGCAATACTTCCTGCGGCGGCTGCCACCATCTTGCGTATTGCTGAAGAGAAGACGGTGCTGAAAATGCACGAAGTTGGATAGGAAAAATATTTATTCCAAAAATCGCAGAAATCAAAACGAAGGCTATATTATTATTGCCTGAAGAGAAGAAATCTTCCATCCAGGGTTTATAAGAGATGATTTGGTTGATTTACCAGAACTTTCTGGGTTTTAGCTGCTTAATCCTTCACCTTTTTTCCTCCTCCATTTCTCACCAATGAATGACTATTTCAAAGAGAGTTCAGTTTGTTACTGTACAGAGCCAAGTGTACTTTATAGGAATATCAAGAGAAATGAGGGTTAAGAAAGAGTCGTTTTTATGCTGGTGTGGTTTTAAAAGTAAAGCAGAATACAAAAATAGCCTGTTTTCCATCCCTTTTTAGGCCTTGCAGAAATATTGTAGGAGCTCAACCAATCCAAGGCACCATCGATATAAGAAATCGGTGTTGGTCAGTTCAGGTGGGAAAAGCCTGCATTGTTCTACGCCCACCCTTAATTCAATTGGAATATTGCTCAAAGCCTTAACTCAAATCAGCAGCACACACTACACACTGCTTGCGAGAATACACTAACACTCATCTTTTTGAAAAAAGGAAAGCGTTCAGATTTTTTCATGTGTATTCTGAGTGGGAATATTTCAGTTCCCACGCCCGCTTCTAGCAATGATACTCCGCGGGTGACGCGATGATTTTCATCTTTTCAATCTCACTACATGTGCTCACAAAGGTGGTGTCGTGTTGCATCGAGCAGGCATTTAGTGTGTGTGTATGTGTAGGTGTATGTGTATGTGTACGTGTAACCTACGACCTACGGCACCAATGGAACACCGTTAGAAGAAACAGTAGCAGATCTTTGCTGATTGCCTCGATGTTGAAGAGCAACTTCGCGTATTCGAGTAATCTTTTCTGAAGAGAAGGAGTTAACGGCTTTGATGGTGTTGCACCTTCTCCCCGAATTCCTACTGCAAGCGGCAAAGGTCATGCGGCGACCCTATCCTCCCACTGGAAATTCAAACTTTTCCTTCTAGCGCGATCGGGCACGGCGAGTACGAGGTCGTTCTCGTGGAGAAGATGCCGAACCCGGGTTCGATTGCTGGAAATGCTGCCACCAATATCTGAGAAAGAATCCAATGCAAGTACGCTGCTGGGCCAGGAGCTTAAGATTGGGACAAACGCTGGAACGAATGTTCTCCTTGTCGAGAGGATTCAAGGGTGTATAAAGGTGCGCCATGAGCTCATTGTCATTATTGACCGGAGGGCAAAACTTTGCAAGCATACACTCTAGCAGGTCAATTCTATGTGGTTTTAACAGCATAGATTTGAAGTCGTAGGCGGCACCCGATTAGTTCCGATCCTAGTTCTACAGACAACTTTTGAGGATTGTTATACCGTTTACAAGACTGCAGACTATGCTCCACATTCGACCAGCTGAAAATTGCGATCACAGGACTAAGGGAAGGGTCCATTCTGCAGTCATCAAAAATCAATCAGCAAGTACGCTCCATCGAATCATGGTGCGGGCTTCGATGCAAAGACCAACACTGAATTCCGGTGAAGTATGTACCTCATTGGCTGCTTTCTTAGTCGGCCGGCCAGTGGAGCGCTTGCTATTTGTTTAAAGACACCGTTCACATAATTTCGGGTAATCCAGATCATGATGAAAAATGGAAGACAAGATCGAAACTAGTGTGACTGAGGTGAAGAAACTGCGTGCATCGGTGTTTCCAAAGTGAAAAAAGGCTTCGAAAAAACGTTAAAAAGGGGCTGGACGTGAATGAAACCAGAAAAATGAAGAAGGGTGGGGCGTCCGGACGAGCTAAATAGTTACAGCAATAAGAAAAACAGAGGAAAAAAGAATGGGAAAAACCATCGCCTCATCACTCGGCGATTAACTGATTGTGCGTGGATCCCAGAACGAATAATAGCAATCTGTATTGTCTCGACACTCGTCTAACGTGACACCGATCGAGGGGCGGGCACGCGAACTACGGCAACAACGGAACTGCCACTATGCCCTGGACGTCGAGATTGGGGGAGTGAGAGGGTCCCTTCTACAACCCATGGGGCTTCTGATTATTAGTAAGGTAAGAACTCAATAACTTTTTCATCGTGAACGGTGCCTTTAAAATTGAGTCTTGATCAATACTGCAGGCCCAGTAGTCCCCCGGCCGGTGGACTATGAAAGCAGCCATTGACTTGGGAACTACTAATCACATTGGGCGGACTTGAAAACGATCGAAATCCCAAGCATCATGTGATAACACGTGTGCCACTGCTTACGTTTAAGTAGACCTGACAGAACTGATGGTGTGCAGCAGAACTGATGGTGAAACAGCGCTTCGAGCTGTTTTCTGTAGTATAAGAGGGGACGTAAAGTACTGAAACGCACTACATCATTTGAAAACAACAATATGGCACGTCTGTTTGTAAACAGGATCGCCTGACTGGCCTTTAACTATGAGGAACTAAGAGGAGATCGAGGAACTGCTGGAACGGATGGAATATGGAATACAAAAGCAAAGAAAGCCAACTTTTGCGATGATATCACATATCACATCACATTCATATTGTTGTTGTTGTGACAACAAACCGTCTTGTGGTTTTACCAGATAGCTATTCTGTAAGCTGACAGCCCATTATTGTTGACGAAACGTAGGCGTTTTTTTACGAAGAAAGGAAGGAAGAAGTCCCTTCGCCCTATACTATGAGGCAGTGATAAGGGAACGAATTAGGAAAACCCATCATTAGCATAGGTAGTACAAGATATTCATAAATACCTATCTGGACTTCGAAGTCAAACATTAATCATATTTGTCACGGTTGCGTTCTTACATAGGTATCAATAGTCCACTGTGGAATCACGGAAATCGGAAAATTGACGGGAACTTTTTTGACGATGGAGTCGTTATTGGAACATATAGGCATACAATACGACTTGAAGAGAGTTGTCCAGCCTTCAATCGACAACTGTCCGCCTACGAGGTCTAAATCGTTCACGCCTCACTACCGAGACCGGTCGTGTTCACTAGAAATTAAATTGCAGTGTAAAACCTATATATGGTCCTCGCTACCACTCTTGCAAGGCCTTACAGTGGTTTCAATGTTCATGGGAAAATCTTGCAACCATTGTAGGATATGAAGGCCCATCTACGGACAGAGAGTGGCATGGCTGGAAAATAGCAAACATGGCAATCGCATGGAAGCAAATTAATTTTCGAATAATTGGACAGGTAGCTAATGGTAACAAAAATCAACAAAATGGTAAAATGGGTAAAAAGAATGAAGTTTTTGGCGTTAAACAGTTTCGTCTGAGGGATGCGCCCTCGCACTCAACTTCCAATCAGCATCTTAGTGGCATAATGAGTGCATATGCGGCCTACACAATGACTTGCGGTGGCCAGCCGATGTACAAGTCAGTGCTTTTATACTCCCAGACAAGTCTGGTACCAATTCACCAGCCCCGAAGGGATGGAAGGCTTAGTTGGCCTAGGCGGGCATCGATCCGGGATTCGAACTCCTGGCCGTGGGGGTGAGTTAGTGCGCCTCTTGCCACAACACCACCTCAGCCCTAACAAAGTGGTGGACGCAAGTATTACAATATGGTATATGGTTTTTGTTGCAATAGAAACGATGATGTGTTTTAAAGAGCTTGTTAGTTTCAATAGTTTAACTTAGGGCAAGAAAACTCGATTGCAGTTTCTTACTTATTCGGAAACGCGCCAGGAATTACAGATTTTTCAATTAAGCGTGGAACTCACCTGTTCCGCACTGGTTCCCCACTCCAGGTGGATATGTACAGTTGCATTTGAAGGCGCAGTATTCGGTTATGGAATCGTCTACAAAGCAGGTCCCTGGTGCTTCACTCTGATTCACACGACATTTTCTTCTCGCTGTGGCCGCATCGCATGGGTTTTGTTCTGGAAAGCTTTGTATAAGGGACCTTTTTGCAAACTCGCTGCAAATGCCCCCTGCACTCATCAAGGTAGTAGAACGGCTTGGACAGTTCAGAGCGTGCTGCTCTGTGAAACTTAGGTTGATTGTGAGGCTGTTTCCTCTCAGAGTCCTCATTATCAGCGCTCTTTCGTTTCATTTCTTCGTTTCCGATTTCTTGTGCTAGACCATTTTGATTTTATTTGAGACAAAATTCGTTCCCTATATGATTTTATTCAAACAGTTATAAACCACCGTTCAGTTACCCATGCTTGAGGGAATTGCCCCATGTTTTGATAATTGCTCATAGAGTGATTCGTTATGGTTTCGACGTATTGGCTGTCAGACTATCTTGATCAATCCGTGGCACGATAACAAAAGACAAGCTTTTAGTATTCTATATCTACTCTTGCAGCTACAAGAATTGGCGGCTACAATCACCCTAAATACAGAAAGATTAAACATGTGCTCTCCTTCATGACAATGACTGATTTCACGAAACAAACTTCATACCCTGAAACACGTGTTAGTCGAAAGATCTGAGCAGGAAAGTTGCCAAACTCAATTGAGCCCATCCTATATGTTTCTAATTTAGTCCCTTCGATGACCCCTCGTCTCAGAGGATGAAGATGTGTCTACGAGAACAGAAATGCTGATCAAACAGAGCTGGAGGGAGGATACTGCATCCCTTGACTCGCGGCTGCGCAAGTTTTACAGTTCCTGAGTGGACCAAGTTAGTGATCAGTCTGTTGAATGATATCCATGCACAAAAAAAAAACACCGATATTGAGAAGGAAGAGGATCGGGTGAAAGGCTTTCGGACTAATAAATCATTAACATGATATGTTTTTGAAATGTTCTCACTTTATCCTGAATCCTGAACAAACCTGTTTCGCAGTGGTCTCCGCTGTCACATGCAGGACAGATGCACAGCACACCACCGGTGTTTGGGTTAATGGTACAAGTGCCATTGTTGCAAATAAGAGGATTCTCCTCGCAAGGATTACCTGTAATGTGAATACGTAATGTTTTTTGCCGAAAACGTACCAAGAGGGGGTGGGTGTGGGAAGGCACATACTTTTATCAATTGAGTAGTAGGTAATGTGGAGTTCAATCCAAGACAACCAGTTAGCGGAAAAGACCATTTGAGCGTTTGAAACCATAGTATCGACTTTTTCACTGGACGTAGCTGTAATGCTGAAAGTTCAAGTTTTGGTGAAAAGCGGAATTTAATGAGGATAAAGTAAACTGTAGTGAAGCCTATCTTCTCCTCCCGACTAGTTCCAACTGGGAAAAGCTATCTCTAGGCTCTAGTCTCTTGAGCCGCCTTCACTACATACTCCAAACAGCTCGTTTGAAACTTGACTATTCCGATTTCTATGAATAAATGGGCAGGGGTAGGGGCGTTCATGAAGGCACACGAAAGTGAACGTTGAATGGATGAACCTTCGCTTCTGATTACTACTGTAAACAATGAGGAATGCTAGCTTCCATGTTCGGTCTTCTTGAAACCTGGGTATGTCGCATAATGTTTTTTACACTGTTTTGCCGTACAGGTTTGTTATGATGAAACCGCTTTATTAGGTTGACATTTCGAACAACTCATCGTCTTTAAGGACCTGAAAGTAATTCGGAGCTCCTGACCTGTGACTTACCCGACNGTCGGGTAAGTCACAGGTCAGGAGCTCCGAACTACTTTCAGGTCCTTGAAGACGGCGAGTTGTTCGAAATGTCGACCTGATAAAGCGGTTTCCACCTTAACAAACCTGTACGGCAAAACAGTGCAAAAAAAGCAATGAGAAAAGCAATTGCTTGCTTAGTTCCTACAACCGAAACAGTCTTGAGGTCGGAGCGTTCTGCCATTCAGGCTGCCTATCACTCCATCCAGTGCAAAAAAAAGCGGTCAGTCTTACAGAGATGTTCTGTTCTTCTTCATATTCGCACACTGGTCTTACCCAACATTTAAGAAAATGAAACACATTTCTGGTAGTATCCGGAAAACCAAAAAATACTTCGCAGAATAGGTGGGATAAATCTATTTTCTATTTTTCGCTATTTTTCGACTGGCGAAGTTTGTTATTGTTCTGAAATATCCTACGAGAAACGCCTATCGTTCCTGCCCTTGACACTGTTAGGCAAGTTTCACAAGACAGTAACGGAATATCTACCAACTTATGCCCAAGTTCGTAGAGCAGCGCAGAGCAGCTACAGAAGACTCAAAGAGGAAAACAGCAGTGCAGGCTGAAGCAAAGGGAACAGAGAGCAGCACTAGCGATGCTCAGCAAAGCTCCACAAGGTGAAAAGTAAGGAGAGTATGAACCATACGGAACTGTCAATGCACTTTCAAAGATAAATCACAATGACTATCCACAATTCATTCTATATTACCTTTTCAATAGTTTTATCTTCCTCTTATCTACCACTGTATGCATATGTTGGGTCTCCATTTCCATTATTGGTGCTTTTTCTGACCTAGTAACTCTCTCTTTCCCTTCTCTGTTTATTTCGAGTTTCCTTATCTTTTTTTTTTTCTTTTGGGGCGCAGGTGGTATAATACTGGGTGTGCGACGTTAGTCACGACTGACATTACTTCGCGCCGAGGTGCGAAGTGACCTCATGAGTGACTAACCTCATCTTAATTACGCGCCTCCCCTTGAACGCAACTAACCTTATCTTACTTATAAAAGTGATGGCAATGTTGATAATAGTGAGAAGATGAAATTCTAAGAAAAGTAGTTTTTAACGTAAAATTTTCAAGGTCTTCGGTTCCAAAAGTTCAATTGTATGATGTAAGAAACATTCTTTTTTTGAATTTCCACTCATCTGTGATATCAGAGAACATTTACAGAAGCGAAGTAGTTGTTTAGTATTGGAGCATCCCGCCGGCTGATCAGTCAGGCCATTTCACACTTCTCACGGAATATTACAATACTTCAGGCTAAGTTCCAGCACGTTGAAGAGAGTTCATCAGCTACTATTCAACATGGTGGTTAAGTGATTCACATGCAGCCAATGACTACTGGAAAAAAGCCTTGCTGAGAACCTTACTATGTATGTTGAGGACCCATTCTACTGCTTCCGAAATTTCGCGGAGTACCTTTCAGCTTCAATGCAGTTCCAATATGCACCCCATCCCTTTGACTCTGCTACTTCTGTACCGACGCAACCTCCACTAATGCAGCTCAGACCCGCACCACTACCATTATACTATGTCATTTCCATACCTATACAACCTCCGCTAACGCAGTTCCAACCCGCACCGCCACCCTTGTACTATGCTACTTCTACTTCACCTACCCAACCGTTCCAACCCGTGCCGCAGCTTTCGCTCCAATCTAATCAGCCTACCTCAATTCCCCCCCCCCCCCCCTCTCCCCTATTACCTCGAACCTCCCCTGGAGACTTGTTCACGAGTCGGTAAGGCAGGTAAGTAAGCACAAAAAAATCGGGTTCTATGCGCACGAACAAGTATGATGAAGCTCTTCGATGCATTCCGTGCAAAAGACCGTTTGAGTTGTTCAATTATTATTTTTAAGATACTTCTTATAAGAAAGATTAGGCTTTTTCAGATTTTATTGGAATTTTTGTTGAGATTTCTGTCATCTTGCATGGTAATAAAACTTTTAAAACCGAAGACCATGAAAATTTTACGTTAAAAATCTACTTTTTTTGAAATTTCATTTCCTCACTATTATCATCATTGCCATCACTCTTATAAGTAACATAAGGTTAGTTACGATCAAGGGGAGGCGCGTAATTGAGATGAGGTTAGCCACTAATGAGGTCACTTCGCACCTCGGCGCGAAGTAATGTCAGTCGAGACTAACGCCCCACACCCTGTAATACTGCTGCGTGTATATTTGGGGGCGCACAGAGGAGTTAATGTATCAAGCGAGTTTATATTGTTTTTGACAATTTGTAAATTGCGGAATATTACAATTAATTGCGGGCGGAGGTGATGTAACGGCAAGTGGCGCACTTGTGATACCATGTTCGTCAGGGAGGGTAAAAGCACTGATTTGCACATCGGCTCGCCCCCGCAAGTCATTGCATAGGCCAAATTCGCATTCAATTCCCACTACGATTTTGGATGGAAGTCGAATACGAGGGCCCATCCCTCTGACGGGATTGAACAACGCCCCAAGACTTGTTCCTTAGTCTGTTCCTTTTACTTTATCTTTCGTCTGTGCTAAGCGGTATCTCGCTTTTTGACAACTAACATATTTCACCCGTAGTGGTAACCTTTTGAGAATATTTCCTGTTTGAGCGTTGATGATGTTGAGCGCGGCACCGGTGCCTGCAATAGTCACATTTGCATGGAAAACGACGTTGAATCCATCATCGGCATTGAACACGTGCGAGCATTGAACGTTCTGCAATAAGTTTGTTATGAACTCAGCGAAATTCACAAATCTGTTTTCTAATTAACGTGTTATTTCAGTAAACCATTCCGTTTTCATTTAGATATGGTAGTGAGAGCGATTCCATCACACATTCCAATTTGGCTATGCATACAGGGCCCAAAAAAAAACTGAATTTTTGTCTGCTGCCCTACCATGCTACCTTGCCATAAACGACAAGGTACCTAACGTTGTTTATTTCACGAGCTCTACACTTCCTTTGGATTTTTCCCCAGGGTGAATATGTGGCCTCTTCATATGATATGAGGCGCTGCCAGATCGGAGAATGGCCTAGATAGGGCATCAGAGGCTCAAGAACTGTGTCGACTGTGTGCTATAACCGAAGGCGACGTGCTTCGACGGCGTTATGGAGGCCGCGCAATTCACAAAGAGGTGTGGTGCGATTCACGCGTCAATGTCATGAGGTCATCGACGCTATAACATCATGGCTACCATCATAATTAGAAAAATGAGAACTTGTAAAACTTATGGGTAAAAAAAAATGATTAACTTTGCACCTTCACAGAAGGATTGGGGTGCGCTTCGTTGCGTATGTCCGTCGAAACTAGGTCACGCGGCAGCCGTCGCACGCGGCGAGTCGGCCTGCGATATTTGACAGACGTCGCAATTGTCACTGGGGCATACGCTTTGCGTTTGGTCCACGGCAGTCAGTTCAACAAGAAGATAACACAGACAAATGCAAATCATTTGCTCCAATGACACTTGGTGGTACTGTAATGTCATCTCCAGACCTCAGTGGATGCGCCGCGCGCGAAGTGGGCGGGGTGACCTACTTTCGACGGACACGCGCAACGGACGTTCTCCGAAGGATTGCGGTTATTAGGATCGGAATATAGTGAAGCTTTTATTTCAAACAACTGACAAGTAAATTATTGGCCTTTGAAGTGAGTTCTTAAAGGCACAGTTCGCGACAATTCAATGGGCGGGTATGTCAATGACGTGTCCGCCTCTCATTCGATGTCACGTCTGACTGTCAGACGTGACATCGAATGAGAGGCGGGCACGTCACTGACACACCCGCCCATTGAATTATCGCGAACCGTGCCTTTAATCTCGAAGGGTCTTCATTGCCATAGTGAAGAGATTTGCTCTAATTCATGGTGAAGCCGTGGACTACTGAAAAACTTATTTGGTCCATCTCAACAGAAGGATACTGAAGCGATGCTGCGTGCGCGAAGAGCTCTAATGGGGTCACGCGTGAATCGAGCGCCCCCTCCACAAAGACCACCCATGTTGTAGCTCCGAACAACTAGCTTATAGCTACGGTAAAGGACAGTCTTCGGCAATCGTAGCTTGACGTGGCCAAATCTTCACGCAGCTGAAGATACTGAAATCTCGCTTACCTTGAAACTCAATTAGGTTTAATAACTTTTTCGATAAAGTTAAGCTCGCTAGTAACAACATGGTATCAAAGCTCAGGTGAAGGCTTGACCCCGCTTTCATTCTTTGCAATCTTCCGCCTTTGTGACTTGAAATATGTTTTGATAATTGAAAAGAAAATAAGATCCGTCCGTAGTACAGGCTGAAGTGTAGAACTTCAGCCTGTACTACGGACGGATCTTTGTCAAGGATCTCATTATTTTAAACTTTGCTCCTTCCCTTTCTCTATTTTCTTCAATTTTTTCAAACAAAAACTCACGCTGACATTAGTGACTGTGTAAACCTTGATATCAGTTGTCACCTTATCCTTATCGGGGCCGTCCGGGCATTTATCCAGTGCTGAAAGAAGGTTGTTGAAGTAATGCTAAATGAGTTAGCCTTTCAATACTTACGAGGTGTTGTTGTTGATATAAACGGCGTTGTAGTTGGAGTCTGAAAAACCACAATTACCTGGTAGTTAGAAAAATCACTGCGTTAGGTCTTGCTAGAGACGGAGACTGACTCCACTCAAGATCATCCTCATCCCCACGGCAAGCGGTAAAGGGCGGCTACCCTATCCTTCCTCTGGAAGTTCAAACCTTCCTCTTCATTGAGCGCGAATGCGCGCGATCGGGTGCGGCGAGTGCGACGTCGTTTTCGGGAAGAAGATACCGGATCCCGCAAAGAGTATATCGCTGGGCGACGATGGGTGGAGTAATGGACGATATCATGTGAAATGTATAGCAACATATTATACATAATGTCTATAAATGTGCACAATAATTTCAAGAAGAGTATAAAATGCATTTATGATGATAGCATTCCTTTCTTTTCACAGGTTCACTAAGGGGTTTATGGAGATCGTTCTGTCTCGTTCGACTCTTTCGCATCAATGGGCGCTGCGGGACAATATCGTAAAATTGACTGATCAAAGGAGGTTGCTCAATGCGTTGTGTGCATAGCAGGAACTACTGAAGTCCACAGAAGTCCAGGACTAATTTTGTAAAGAAAGCATCTCATCTTAAGCTCATCGGACAATGAATAGTGATTCTTTTGCAAGCGCAGAAGGCTCCTGAAAGAAGGTCTTAAAGAAAAAGCGCAGTGCTTATTACAATATGGCGACACACAGGTGGTTGGGTGGCGCCTTTTCCAATCTAAAGAGATGGATCACCTATCTCCAAGGCACAGTACACGATAAAAATGGCTCTTGAGATATCTCGCTAGGATAATTCTACGGCCCTCTTGTACGCTATATGCGGTGTTCAGCGTCTGGATGGAAACGGCCTAGATAGGGAATTGTAAGGGCTCAAAGATTGTCTCGTATGTATGTGCGGACGAGTTCCACCGACCCTGCGGAGCCTGCACCATTCACGGGGAACCCATTTAGAAGTTCAAACAACTTGTCATGACCCATGGTGATAGTGGAAGGCAGTTTTGGACAATTTCGGCTTTATCTAGCCATCACTTTGCGCAAATGCAGCAGCTGAAATCTTTTCCGAACACCTCTTTCATGTCATTTTCGTCATGGTCATCTACAACCTTTGTTTCACTACTTTCAGGGAGTCTTATTTTTTAAAAAATTGTTGGATTTTTTCGCTTTTTTCATCACCGATGCACTATTCTCAAACTATGCTTCCGCTTTTCGACTTAAAAAGGATAATGATACCTTAGAATTAGCTTGAACTGTGCTTCCAAACTAGCAAGGTGGTTCAGTGGAGATGAAGATCTATATGTATTGCTAAGAACTTATCGAAGCAGAACACGGGAGATCGTACCACCTGAGCTCCGCTCTTAAGACGCAGGGAGTGACGGCGGATTTTGGCCATCGGCCATAATGTAGAAGTTCTAGATTGGTCACACTTCAGAACCAGATCATCGTCCGAAATCTTTTGGGTGAAAAAACTTTTTTAATGATTTGTTTAGTCCGATTGTTGATTGTTTGTACCTCGTTCAATTTCAGGAAAAGATGTATAGCGCATGTTTCACTTAGGGTACTGACCAGTAAGTAGTCAATAGTGTAACATTGTTTCGGCATCACGATAGACATTTGAAGGCACAGTTCACGATAGTGTTGGGGTATCCGATTTTCAACGATTAATGGAATTTGCAGTTCAAAACAGTGCAAAGATAACGGGGAAACGAGAAACACGACGTATTCAGAGAAATGTTAGGCTTCAAAAAATGCTAAAATTAGGAGTTGGAGGAGAATGTGGAAGAGGTATTTGATGTCATTATGTACAGATAATTACAGTAAGCCGAGAGTTCAAAATTGTTTTGAAAGTTCAAAATTGTTTTCCAACTAGCTGGTGATCCTTGCGTAGGTAGTTTTATCCTCTTATACTCTCTTATTCACTCTAACAGAACAGGTATTTCATAACAATTTCCGTCAAAGGGAGCAGCAGCGGAATGAGGGAATAGCCTAAAATATTTATAATAGCTTAGGCTACACGATCAGCTGATTGATTTTCACCGAAGTTAAGTTGCTCAAATGCGAACACTGGTGCCCGGCATTTGGCTGAGTTCATAGTCAGCCTAAAAGGGTGGCAATCACCAATTCAATATCTGATCCCTTATTGGGCCCTATCCAGGACGTTTTTCAACCTTATAACCGTAGAATAGTTTTAAAGGGTGGGAGAGGGAGAGGGTGGTGGGGGGGGGGGGCGCTCGTTTNGGTGGGGGGGGGGGACGCTCGTTTCTATACTATGGGAGAATATCAGAAAGCATTTTATTGTGAACTGTGTCTTTAAACAAGCCCTATTTATGGAAGATTATCCCCCAGTACCAGCCGATGTAATCTAGATAGAACTTCTTTCTTCACTTCTAGGCTTCAATAATCTACTGGGTCAGGTAAATGAAGGCAGTTGAGTCCTCAGTTCTTCAGAATGTCTACATCATGTCTCATCGAAGAGTCAAGCACAGAGCACATTTGAGGTACCAAACCTATAAAAATTTTGCGTGAAACGTCAGCTGTGAAGGTCCGACCACTACTTCCTGAAGATTCTGTACTGTTCTAACATTCGTTTTATTCCAAAGGTCGCCTTGGAGGAATCCTTCAGCTATGCGTTTGCCACTCAAACGAGACGGCACACATTTGCGCCCGCTTGTGAACAACCCGAACACCGCACCGTTTCCGTAGCTCGTTCTAACTACTACCCAAACAAACAAGATCCAAACCGTACAGGAG